ATCTTGAGCTCAGACGCTAAGCAAATCTGAAAATTTAGTGGCTTGAGAAAGAAAACCAAGACTTATACAGTCATTTCACTGCTTGATATGAGAGTTACAAACCACAGGGAAATCCACTGTAGAAATATGAATTTGTCTCCCTCTTCCCTCGCTGGAAGGCTCACACTTTTACTCGCCCTCAGTTTAAGAATGTACCAAATCTTGCATCTTCCATGCAGGCAAAGTGAAGTTTAACAGTTATTTATCTAGATTACATAAAACTTAGTTCACATTTCAGTCATTCATGTCATTATTATCTAAGGGTGCTGTACCAGCTCTTCAGTCAGGCTCCAAGAGGAAGTATAGCAGACAAAACTTAGGTGTATAAGATGTAAAATAATTTTTTGCTGTGATATATAAACAGAAATGCTAAAACAATCCCATCCCAAACTATTTTCTTTTGTAAGATCCCCCTAGCCAGCCCGTTCTGAAATAAAGCAATATCGGGCTACTTTCAATGGTCTGTCTTCTACTGTTATTCAGCTGCACATACTTAAAAAACTGTACTATGGGCTTTAAAAAAACCCAACCTTTTCCAGACAGGTATTTTCACACTGGAAGTTGTTACCCAACTGTCTGAACTTCATTTATCCAACACTATCTTAATTTATCTTAGTGAACTGGGAGGCTGAAGTCTTTACGGTCATAATTACTTTTTTCCAAGAGGATGACTTCATTCACTGCTCAAGACAAATTACTCTCAGTGACGGCGATCCAGGGATTTCTTTGTCTTGATCCATACTTGTGGCTTAGTAACTGTACATCACTCACACCGATTAATCTGAAGAGGTAGAGCCTGCGAGCACAGGCTCTCTAATAAGTGGAGGATCTTCAAACCCATCTGCAGAGCTGTTCAGATTTCCCTTTCTCCCTTTCTGGGATTTGTTAACTCTCACCTAAATCAGGCAAGAGTTTCTGCCTCCCAACCAAGCCATTATTCACCTCCTCTTCCTCTAGAGACGCCTATACTCCTTGAACACAGCTAGGCACAGCCCTATTACCCATCCACACGATCACCACAGGTAACAACTGCTCTTGTGCTTTGCTGCCTAAGTCCTACATATATTCTTAATGCACAATACACCAGAGTAACCCCTTCAACTGATTAATGTTCAACACTATCTCATGGAAAAAGTATTACATATTATATATATTATAATATTATATTCTCTATTATATTCCTTATAAACATAACTTAGCAGTATGTTATGTGATCATATAAAGGGGATTAATCCACATGGCACAGTGCAGGTTAGCTCAAAACTTGTCAGGTCAACCAATTCACCCACTACTACATCCTAAATCAGTTTTAATGAACACAAAAGCATATCTCAAATATAAACCTGCAGTTATTCTGAAACCAAATTTTACATAATTTTCAGCTGAAGACAGACATTAAATGATGAAGGTATACGGTAGTATTAATATGGGTTCCAACAACAGTTTGCGTATCTGTGTCCATCAGTCTTTGAAACTGCAACTTTTTCCTAAGAGACTACAAATTCTTCCAGTAATTCTAACTGAATACCATATACCATGCCCTTTTTCTTCTCGCCTCCATGCACCACTACTGAATGGAAGAGGTAAGCACATTACAAACCCTACGTTGCAGATTGTGTGCAGGATTCAGAGAGCCTAAGACCAAAGGCAAAGAAGAAAGGACATAATGATCTTTTTGTTACTACACGTTACTATACAAAGTCATTATTGTGACCTTTTCCCCTTACTTTCCTCATTTGTATTCTACATTTTGTGAGAAAAACTGGATTAATCAGTTGAATTCAAGCAAAGTCTAACTTCTAATTAAACATTATACCAAGTCCACCATCTTTAATACAGTTTGCCTGACACATACCTTATGATCAAGACCACATTTAGAAAGCACAAAATTCTGCTGCCACTTCCACATCCAGAATACACAAACTAAGGAAAAATCAAGGAAAATGTGTTACACAGAGGCCATTGGCAAGGGATCATGAGCTACTGGTAAATAATTTTCCTTTCATGCTGCATTCTGGATGGATGAAAATTGCTGTTCAAATGTGGGAATTATGTATACAGTAATGCTGTTGTCTAAAGTAGCAAACTGAAAAGAATTACATTAGGGTCATTCTGTTTATACACCATTCAAAATTATTTCACTACCACATTACAGTGACTGTCCTAGCCTCAACATTACAGATCAAGTGTATACAGCATCTTGTAAATGATCCCTGTTGACCTTTAGTCTATGCTGAGGTCTCAATTTTCACATCTATCTCAAGTGTCTAACACGTGCAGTATTTCCCTCCTGCACAGCCTGCTCTCTTTAAGTTGCTACAGCAAGTGTTTTATAGATCTGCCAGCAATACACTGATGCAAGTGAGCTACTTCTCCCACCCTTTTTTGGTCAGGCTAATATAAAACTTTGTTTGCTTACCTCTCCCTAGTTTTATTTTGCATGCAAGCGTTTCTGCTTTTTTGTCTCAACTCTAGAACTCAATTTTAATACATGGGAAACAGAAGATCAGGAAACAATTTAAAATGCTGTATTTTGTGGTTTGACCTCAGTGACATTCTCTTAAGCAAAAGCAAGAAAGCCAATCAAAATCCGAGTTTAATTTTACTAAGATTCTGTGCTTCAAGTACTAGGACTGTCTGCTGGCTCATGTTGACTTGACTAACCTCAATGTTTCTAATTGCAACTCACAGAACTGTGGCTCAATGGATTAAAAACATAATTACTACTTAAGATTAAAATAAAACATTTTAAAAAAATTTAAAAAGGTTTCAGCAGATCCTTCCAAAACTTAAGGCACTTACAAAATACAAAGTAAGTTTTGAAAATGTGTAACTATTGTTTTACGAGTTAATCCTAAAAAATAACGTAGCAATTGACAGTCACTGCAAGGCTAAGGAAACTATTGCAACAGAGAAAACATATCCAGCTCAACTTCCTCTACATCTTATTTGTGTAAAGCATTCTCCGAGTTGTACTTCCTCACTGGCAGCAGAGGCAGAACACCACTTTATATCCAAACAGTCACAACTGGCTGTAATACAAAGACAAGGAATGAAAAAATAATTTAAGTCTTAAAACTTGCTTTACAATCTTACCAAACTACTGTATGACTTCATCACAGGCCACTGAAGAACTTCCATTGTAACTTGGCTTCTATCCTTTGTCAAGGTAGACTTGGGGGGGGGGACACACGACAACTACTGAACCTCTGAAGGTTCTGCTTTAATAAACATCTACATTCCAAAGTGTTTTCTATTGAAATCCCATCACAAAATTATGGAAAATTTTTAGTAAAAATAAATGTTTAAAAGCTTCAGACTACCCCTTAAGAGCATGATAAACTAGAAAAGTGGATAATTTACGAGACTCATTTCCCCCACCCCATTTCTTTTGTCAGATTCTGGTCAGTCTTTCAAGTAGCAACAGGAACAATTTAGATTAGGTGCACTAATGACCTTAGTACTCTGCAGTTTTATGGGCGAATGACCAACAGAAGAGGTAACAACACATTTGTGCTTTCAACTTGAGAAACGGACCCACACATTCAGGTGATGACGAGTAAGGTTTTGCATAGGCACAAAAATCCACCTGCACGTTCACTTGCAAGCCTTTTTTTGGCTCAGGAAGCCACTTTGAAATTTGGTGTATTAGTCATTGCACAAAACAGCAAGAAGGAAGCATCAGGAGTTGAGGCTCACACCTTTTAATGTGACAAGAAATCAGCACTAAGCCCCGAAAGCTCCATTCCATTTGCTGATGCTTGCAAAGCTGCGTCTGGCACAACCTTCTTCTGAAAAGCCATTTCATATATCACTGGTAGGAAATGGAAGGAGGCAGGGCTGTCACCAAGCCTACACAAGGTACTGGAAGGAGGGACTTACCTCTTTTCCTTCTATTGCCAAAAAAGATCCAAATCTTTTAGACACATATGATCACTAACACCCTTTATTTCAGGTGTTGCTGCATGCTTCAAAAAGACTGAGCATACTCAAAACTACTCACACAGGATGACATTTGTAAGAAGCAGCACTGAAGAGAATTTTAAACTCAAATTGTGTTCTCAATTTTGTAAAAGTAATATTAAAAAAAAAAATCTATGTATACACAGGCACATAACTCAAAGATGACTGGTGAAAGACCCAGGAAGGAATTAGTGAGGAATTAATACATACTTAGTAACTAAAGCAGAAACCTAGGGCGTGAGGGTAAGAAACAAATCTATCTACTTCACCCTCCCCAACACTGCTAATTAGAAATAGCAGCAGCTTTAAGAAATCACCAGTCCTATATCTGTGATATTGCTATAATGTGGAGCTTCCCACAATTAATGTACAACAGAAACTTATTTTTAAATAACTTAAATTGTTAACTTCCCAGGAGTTGGAATACCAGGGACAGAATTCCATAGGTCGTATTTTATAATGCTTTCTGCTCTAAGCATATGAATGCAGCTATTTACAAATCAAGTCAACATTTTAAATCAGATTTTGAAAACATAATAGAGAATGGTGATGAAAAATTTTGAGAACCAGTAATCTCAGCTTCCAGTCACACCACTATTCTATGAAAAGGCAATATGAGAGTGCTCCCCTTCAATAGGCAGTAAACTATGAAGCAAAGGAAGAACTATCACAGGCTCCAAAATGTTTATGATGGAAATGTTTATGACAGCTTATTCCTTTGATCAGTTTATGTAATACATACAATCATCAAAACAAATGCATACAAGTTCCAGCATACCCCGCTCATTTTTCTGCGGGAAGTAACAGTGCAAAAGATACAAGATGCAAACACAGCATACTATTTCGTATCAGCCCATCTCACCCACCAAATTAAAACACTCCCACAAGACAAACAAGCAGTATCCAAGCATTTGTTCTATGCAGAAGCAGGAACGAGGATGAGCTGTATGCACAAGAGCAGAACACCACTGTACAAACAAAATCAAAATCACCCTTACCTGAACTAAAGGTGCTGGCTCTTGAGATTGCTTACTGGTAGTTCCTTGCAAAGATGTCAAAGCAAAACTGTCAGTCTTGTGTAATACTGGACCATCAATCCCAGCAGATGCATCTGTCCTATGTGATTGCCACATCTCTTTTCTGTGATGAGATTCACCAGCTTGCTCATCTCCAAAGGCAGCCCAAGAACAGTTGTCTTTTTGTTCATCTTCAAAAGCATTCCCGTCAGAGTCCTGAAAAGCAACACTCTCATCCTGTGGTTTTGGCACTGCATCGAAGTCTCCAAATTCACTATCATCACCATTTTCTACCTCAGTAGTATGCTGGAAGTCTAAGCCTGAAGTTTTACTGGTAGTATCACATTCTAAATTGTCAGCAGTCTGATTTAGTTCAACTTGATCCAACCTTGCTGGCTGCTGAGAAACAGTACTTGTGTCCCTGAATTCACCAAATTCATCATTAGGTTCGCTAATGTGTGCGGGCTGTTCAGAAGTTCCTTCTAAATCTAAAGCATTTATTGATTCTTGAGCATTAACGACGGTGGGAGATGCACTGCCAACTGAACCAAAATCACCAAAATCATCATCATGTGTGTCACTGCAGGCTACAACTTCAGTACTACTTCCACCATTCTTAAGCTCTTCGGAATCACCCGATTTTTCTCCTGCAAGATCACTGCTTAGGCTTTGGATCTTATCAGCCTTGATGTCCTCTATTCCCAAAGAGTCATCAGGCCTAGTAAAATCTTTGCCATTCTCTGTGTCATGTTGTCGTCTCCTCCCACTGCGTTCGCCATTTTCAGTAGTGCATATTGAACTTCCAGTTGTTCGAGATGTACTAGAAATTGCAAATTCATTATCTTCCAGTGCTGAGGGACCCTGTTCACAACTAGTTTCTGAAATGCAAACCTCTTCAACACAAGTTACTCTGTTTATTCTGTTGTTCTCCTGAACGCTCAGAGAGTCTCTTTCATTAAGAACTCTGTGTATTGTAGGTCCTGTTCCCTCTAAATGGATTGTTTTTTTGTTTGAGAATGTAGCAAAATCTGCAAAGTCTTCACCTGAGCTAGGCATTGAGTTAAAATTTTTCTCAGTACTATGGCCACTAACAGTTTTCAGTCCCTTTGAGTCACCAATACTGTCTAGATCTTCTGTTCCCTGAGGATTTACAGGGTCCGATGCTGCAAATCCATTTGTTAGAATCTCTAGACATGGAAGTTTCTCACCATTACAAGCATCTATTTGCTCATCCTGGCTCTCATCTGCTATACCAGTTCTAATGACACGAGAAGAAAAAACCTCTGATTTCCCAGTGTTGCCTCTTTGTTCCCCTCTTTTATTTACATCTTCTAAAGCAGTACCTGAAGTTCTAAAGTTAGATTTTTCTTTGCTGGTACTAGTAGCTGATATATCACAAAGTTCCTTAGTAAGAGTAGGAAGCTCTGCAATGCAGTCTTTATCTTTAACATTTTTAACAGATGTGAAAGTTGCAATGCTAGCTACATTGTCTGAATAATCATGAAGTGGGATGAAATGATTTGTCGGTATAAATTCCTCCTTTGGATGACTGTAGTCTGGTGTATCAAAATCAGGAAAAGCTACACCAGCAGTGCTCACACCAGAAAATCCTCCAAATTCTCCAAATTCATCTTCATCATCATCATCAGCTCCATTGTCTAGTGGTGGAGGGGATGAGGAGTACATTCGAATAATATCTGGTTCCATTGTTTAGTTCCACTTCAAAGTTACTGTATTTCTACAAAAGGGAAAAAAGCATATTAGAATTTGGCTAACTTTTGTCATCTTTCATTTTTTTTATGTTTATTGTTTCACATTTTTAGACATCTATACGCCAGTGCCCATATCAGATATGAGAAAGGAACATTCCCCAAATGCATTTTCTAACCAATTCTTTTGTTTTAGAAGTCAATCTACTGGGGATAGGTCAAGCATCTTGTAAACTACTACACAATCATATTCTCAGCATACTGTGCTGAAATGTCAGAACACGAAACACATTTGCTTTGAGCTGTTGTGCAACACACTAACACAGCTAAATTGGGTCTTAACCCACCAGTTCTCTACTTCCTGTCACCAGCAATTCGTAAACCAGCCAACGACCCTGGTTCATCTTTTCCCACACTCATTAGTGCACTCAGCTGACTGCAACAGAAATTAATCCACTTGGTGAACTATGCCTAAATAGTCAAGTACTTAAGGCACCTTCAGACAGCAGCTTCAAAGATTTTGAAAGATGCTTCCTTAAGCTTTGAAACAGTGAAGAAGCAGAGGAAGGAACTGCTGTTATAATCACTAGCTATGATCTGCTGCTCTGCAAGTTCTTCTACCAATTCATGGGTTTCTCTTAGGTCTCCCCTTTCTTTGGATTTTGTAGCTGCCAGTCAAGATGCGCTGCCTCCACAGCTGCTGCTGCCAGCCTGCTTTTGTCTTACAAACCGCCAGTTGGGAAATGCTGTTGTGAGCACCAGCAAAACAAACTTCTCCATCAAAGCTTATTCTCAAAAGCAGAACGGAGCAAGATTATCCATAAAATATTTTAACACAAATCATTACATTGGGGGGGTGGGGGATGGAAAAGAGGAAAGTGTTCCCATGGCCCAGACTGAAACAGATTAAGGACTCCATCTTAACATTGCAAACCATTACAGTAACAAGCAAGGTATGGATAGAAAATTTTCTTTCCTAAAGTATGATCTTGATTTTTTTCAATATTGTGTGTAATTAATGAAGCAATAACTACTACTATTTATAGATTCACAATTGTACACATCACTTCACTAGTTCATACCTTAAAGCCCTTAAAGGGAGAGCTACAACCAAGCTCTTTCCATTTCAAATCCCACTTGTTGCGAACAAATTGTAAGAACATACTAAGCATTTATAAGCAAATATTTGGATTTCTAACCACCAGAATAAGCACAGACTTTACAATAGTAGTTCTGAAACACAGATAAAACGTTATCCTTAACTCCGACATCTTTAGCAAATGACTTTGTCCATGCACCTAAACAGCAGCACACAAAGGGTGTAACAACAATGAATGAAGCTCTGCTGTTCTTCTCAAGCACAACATATCACAGCACCTGACCCAAACAACTCTTGGTACTTGCCAGGAAAGTCTGCCATCTTTAAGGTGACTAACATACCTACATTTTTTTATTAAAAGGTATTTTGCAGTTATAAAAGAACATCAAGCTTATCAGATGAAACCATGAAACAATTTGTAGCATCACATGCAAACTCAAGAAGACTGCAAAAGAATTTTGTTTAGAATAAAGGGTAAGTTGCCAATAAGCTCCCACGTAGGCTTACTCAGCACCAGCTGCTTAACAAGGTATTTAAGAGCTTCACTCTCTTATCTTAGGGGCCTCATCTCTCAAGAGCACTCTCCCTTTTGCATCAAGGTCTAGCAATTGCTGTTTCATGTCATACATGAATGTAAAGATCCTTCCCAAGATGTCTGCAGAGCATGACTTTGAGTTCCCCCTGAGACTACTCCAGCCTGTTTATCTTCCAAGGTTCCGGATTTTCAATCCACTAAATACGATATTAGCATTTCTTCTTTGTAACTATCAGAGCAGCCATTCCTTCTTTATATGCAAGTTTCCAAGATCTACTGTGGTCAACCATCAACACTAAGATTAAATGCCCAGTATATCCAGACTACAATTGCTTTCTTAACGTTGTACAGCAGAGGAACATCCGTATGCTATACACAAAGACATGCCCTGGTATGTGGAAGTGCTGCTGGCTGTTCTTTTGTAGAAAAAAGACCAGTTAGGTTCATGGTGGTATATAATAGCTGTGCGAATCTCAAGGCACCTTATCTTGGGGATAAGACTATTTAAAGTTATAGGAGATGTGGTTAAACACTGAATGGCATTGTCTGGAATTCACGACTCCTAGGGTAACGAATAAACAGCTCTCTGTAATACATGACATTTATGAGAAAGGACAGAGAAAACGGCATCAGTCAGGATAGTACTCACTCCCCCTCTCTAATTCCTGGAAAAGGGAAAGGATTGCTTGGTTTCCTTTTTCAAATAAAAAGAGTGGGTTTATTTGGTTATAACAAATCATCCCTTGTAACCCAATTTGAGTTCACAAGTCTCCAGATGAATCTCAGCACACAGTAGCACAAATTTATTGTTAAACCTCCTGAAATTTAACAAGAATTGTTACACCTATTTGGAAAATGCAGTTGACACTACATTTATCACCTTACCCCACCTGACAAAAGTTGAAGAGACTGTAAAGGCAAGAAACTATTTCTTGAAACAAACAAAAAAACCCCCAACACTATTTCAAGGACAGCACTGACTGCATTTAAACCTTCATCATCCCAGAGTAAAAAGGAGCTTGAACAGAAACAATGAAATGGCTGGAAAGAAGGAACGTGAAAACAAGACTCCTACAAAGAACACCCCTGATAGGCTTCTGGGGAATAATACGGGAGGGTGGGATAAGCAGCCACTTGACCAAGACCAAGTACTATGGTTGAAGCCACTGCAACCTCAACAGTGATTTTATCATGATTAGATGTTTACATTGGAAAGAAAAAGCCATATAACTAAACCCACAGAAATTTGAAGCAGAAACCCAACTAAGATCCCCAAATATTTCAATTACTCTCAAACTGGTAGTCTATAAAACATTACATGTTTAAGAAAGTCAAATGCTTGCGTGCTGACACAAGTTAAAGCTAGGAAGTTAACATATTTGATTTTGAAACCACAAGATCCAACCTTGAAGCTTTCTGTACAGTACAAGTAATAAAAATCAAGCTTAAAACAAAAGTATCATACTATATGTAAAATAACTCCAAATGGATACAGAACAGATTTTTCTTTTTTTGAAACAGTTTTGAATAATCAAGTCATGCAAGCAACTATATTCAAGTATAACTAAATCTAGGTAGACCAACCTTGCCTCTCCCGGATACTTTGTTTTTGTTGATGAAAAGTAATGAGCAGGGGAGGAAAAAGCTGATGACAGAAGCAACCTCAAATTTGTTTCCAACTGCCAAATACATAAACTTGCAGTCCTATACATATTATAGTTTTGCTGCTTCAGTAATAAAATAGATCCATATTGCACTCCTACACCCTAAAGTTTTCTAAAATCTTGGGAAGTACTTTGATGAGCTGCAACTCTTCTGCTTGGCACTGCCAGCTCAGCGGCCTACCTAAATTACCATAGCTTTATGGATAGGAAATAGATGCAGGAGGATACTGATGAGCCTCCTAATTTATGCATTATATAGGACAATATTACTTAAACAAGCTAAACAACAAAACTGCAGTCATCACAACTCAGATTAAACAATGAAGCCTAACTAAAAAGTTTTTTTTTTTACTGTATCTGAAAGACATAACCTATGAATTAGAGGCCTTGAAAAAAACTTCTGAACTTTCCCATTAGAAAGAAAATGTGTATGTTTCACCAAAAGCATGTACGTTTTATTTTCAAACCATCTCAGATTTATAGGCCTGTATAAGTCAGTTTTCACTAGTTATTTGAAGTATCACATTCATCTCTGTACTAGTAACTGCTCCATCACTTGACATCAGATGATCTCATGCAAGAAATCATAGTCATAGAATGGTTTGGGTTGGAAGGGACCTTAAAGATCACCTAGTTCCCCCCCCCCTGCCATGGGCAGGGATACATTCCACTAGAACTGGTTGCTCAGAACCCCGTCCAACCTGACCTTCAATGTTTCCAGGTATGGAGCCTCTACTACCCCTCTGTGCAACCCGCTCCGGTGTTTCACCAGCCTCATGCAAAAAGTTTCTTTCTTATATTCAGTCTAAATCTACCCTCACTTAGTTTAAAACCATTACTCTCCGTCACAACAGGCCGTGCTAAGAAGATTTTCCCCATCTTTCCTACAGGCTCCCTTTAAGTACTGAAAGGGGGCTATAAGCTCTCCCTGCAGCCTTCTCCAGGCTGAACAGCCCCAGCTCTCTCTGCCTTTCCTCACAGGAGAGGTGCTCCAGCCCTCGGATCATTTTTGTGGCCTCCTCTGGCGCCGCTCCAACAGGTCCATGCCTTTCCTGTGCTGAGGGCTCCAGAGCTGGATGCAGGACTCCAGGTGGGGTCTCACGGAAGTGGAGTAGAGGGGCAGAATCACCTCCCTCGACCTGCTGGTCATGTTGCTTTGATGCAGCCCAGGATATGGTTGGCCTTCTGGGCTGCGAGCACACATTGCCGGGTCAGGTTGAGGTTCTCGTCAACCAGTACCCCCAAGTCCTCCTCAGAGCTGCTCTCAATTCATTCTCCGCCCATTCTGTACTTGTGCTTGGGATTGCCCCAACCCAGGTGCAGGACCTTGCACTCAGCCTTTTTCAACCTCATGAGGTTTGCGCATGCCCACCTCTCAAGCCTGCCCAGGTCCCTCTGGATGGCATCCCTTCCTTCTAGCAAGGGACATGCCAACAAAAACTAATTCTTCATCTGCACTGGACATACTTCCATATATTATCCATCATAACAATTCTACTCATATTTTTTGTCTACCATTTACTGTATTATTATCTTAACAACCTCAGCTAAAAATAAATCATAATAGAGCTGAGAAAATCCTTGCGAGCAAAGATGATCTAAAAACCCCCGAGATGCAGCATTCCGAAAACAAACTGAATCCTGTGAGCGCAGCAAGCATCACAGTCAAAGGGAATTTACCTGTAAGACTATTTTTCTTG